CTTATTTTGCAGAAGCTTTGATAGAATATTCCCCGATGCGTTCCATAAGCTATCGAAAGATGGTGGTTACGCACAAGTGTTTCTTAGAATTATCCAAACCCATTCGTTGCTGTTATTTGACTAACATTCTCCTATGTAACGATAAAGAAAATAATGCAACCTCCTACTCGAATCCTGAACCCCAGGTTCAGGGAACAGAGGTGGATTCGTAATCCGTCCCATCATCTGGGTAGATCGGGTACCGTCCCCATTTGGCTTTTATGATAGCAAATGTGTGCACTTCATTGAAATAGATTCAGATTAGAAGCAAATGAAAACGTCTGTCTTCATTCAATCAGCGAAACCGAAACGAACGAGCTAGAGCACTTTGCTGCAATTTTTCGGAGAAAGGAATGTTATGTTGGTGTCTTGCAGTTTCCTTCCCGCATAATTTCCCTTTGAAATAATTCGCGTTTGTTGTCCCTTCTGTGATCTAAAAAGCTCCTCAAGCATGAAAATGTGTTCAACAGACTTCTAACAAACATGGTCCATAAAAATAACTTTATCTGTGAATGGCCACCATCAGTCAATTGGAATCAAGTACCTGCTTTCCTGGTCCTCCGGGTGCGCATTTTCGACAACCACGGTTTATTATCGTACACGAAAGCAGTCAACATACCAGTATTTTTCTCCGGTCTGAAGTTAATCCAAAGTAGGGCCCAAAATCATCCGCAACAAAAATGACGCTGACGACAGATGAAAGTTGGCCAAAATCCTTTACTTGTTACGAGCCTCTTATCTTAAGGATTCAGACAGTTTTCCCTTCATTCCCGTCAAACTACTTTTTGATCCGCCAGTTTTAGCCCTTCTATCGTCTCAATATTTCTTCCCAATCGCCCTTAATATTATTAGTTTACACCACCGGTTTACGGTTAAGTTGCCGTTGACGCTTCGAAATTCTTTTTTGAGGAACACAGTCACCAAATATACGTTCTCGTAAAATATTATTTTCAAGATGTTTGTAATACCGCTTGTTCGGGATGACTTGTGCTGTTAGTGGTTAGTTATGACCATCAATGACACTTCAGAGGATTTAGTATGCAGCTCAAATCCTCTCTCCTTTGAATTCGCACATAGAAAGGGGAAAAATTGTTTCGTCTATTTTTTGTATACTGAATAGCTGGTTGCACATAAGGGTAAGGTAAGTAAATATGTTGGAGAAACAGTGAGCCACATTCTTTAAGACGTGACTGCAATTAAC